ACTGGTAAATTACTGTCATAACGATTATATTTTCACTTTCACTTGTATTTTCCGTAGTAGTAGAATAATTAATACAAATATTTTTCAGGGTCACGAATGTTTTTTTTGTAAAAATTATTCCGAGTCGCTAGACGAGGGAATTTTTTTTTCTAATCAACCACTTTCTTTAAGAATAGTGTAAAGTTATTTTAAATATATACTATACTTTTATCAAATATAAAAAAAGGAAAAGTAAGAATACAAGCATTTTATGCAAGTAAAGCGTGTACTTACAATAAGTATAAATAAATAAATTTTAAAGAAAGTATATTCTTAAATCAAGAATACTGTAAAGATTTTACAAAGAAACTATACTTTGATGAAGTACATACTAACGTTACAACAAGAATACCGTACTCTTCATTGAAGACAAATTTGTATACTTAACTCAAAATTAGTGTGTTTCTTATTTTTAGTATAGCAGTAATCTTAGATTAAACCGAAGCTATCTTTATTTTATAAGAATATGAGGATACTTGAAACAAGTATAAATTTACTTGCGGAATAGGGAAACTAAGCTATACTTGGATAGAGTTGAATTTTCTTGGAATCAGTATAGATTTTTTTCCGTGTATATTAATTTAGTTGACCCATAAGTATTTATTTAAATCAACTGTGGGAAGGTTAATATAAAATAAAAAATATTAAAAATAAAGATTAGTTTGACGGTACTAAACCAAATAGTTATTTTAGAAAACTTTAGTGAAACCAACCCGCTGCACAGTGTTTCAATTCTCGAAATTTTCGGCAAAATATCAAGGAGTAGTCGGATTTTCCCAAAAATCTGTATATAAAAGTTTTTGGGGTCGCTGATAACGAATCTGGAATCAGAATTTCAAAATTTAAAATGGTAGATGCAAAATGGCGGACATATTTGTAAAAAAATTGACGGAATAAATTGAAAATCACCATACAGGGGTTTTTGGGGTCGCTGATAACGAATCTGGAATCAGAATTTCAAAATTAAAAATGGTAGATCCAAAATGGCGGACATATTTGTCAAAAAATTGACGGAATAAATTGAAAATCACCATACAGAGGTTTTTGTGGTCGCTGATAATGAATCTGGAATCAGAATTCCAAAGTTCAAAATGGTGGACCTCAAATGGCGGACATTTTTATCAAAAAATTGTTGAAATTAATTAAAAACCCGTAAGAGGTTGTTTTTAATATGTAAATAAAATATCTTTTTATAAAATAGCTTAATTTAGTTTATTATAATTACATTTATATGATAGAGGAAGTGGGGGTAATTCGGAATACTGTTGGTAATTTGGAATACTTAAATATTGAAGCTATGCTTAGCGCCATCTCGTTAAATATGAAATAAACTACTAGAATAGCCTGTATTTTGTGGACATGTGATTTTGTAGATATTTTGATTTATGGTAGAGGGCCAACACATGTGAAAAATTAATTGTGGGGTAACTAAAACTTTTTTAGTGGTAATTAAATCAGCAATTATAGCTTCGATTTTTATCTTTAAATTAACTTAAATTGTATCCTTAGGTAAGTAAAGGGTTATATTTTTAGTTGTTAATTGTACTTTTTCGATATTTTAAAGCATTTACTTTTTTTTACATATTATGGCGTAGGTCTTTATATTGCTAATTTGGAATACTATAAATAATGCAAATTTGAAATATTCCAAATTATATTCATTTTTTGTAATATTTGATAATTAATCCAATTTTTTCTTTTAATTAATATTTGGTTACCTTTTTAAAATGTTTTATTAACCTTTTTAATATTAAACATTTTCTGCTACTTTAAAATATTCCAAATTGGTGGTATTCCAAATTAACTTCATGTTATGTAAACAGAGATTTTTTACACTTTTTTTTTCATTAGTGAAAAAATCTTTTTAAAGTATTTTAAATAGTTTAAAATTTTCGTATGGCATAGTACAAATGTAGATCTTGGACATATTATTTATTTTAATCGAAATAATTTAAATTTAAATTTTTTGCTATTTTTTTTAAACTACTATTCCAAAATACCCTCACTTCCTCTATTATTTAATACCTACATATTTATTAAACAATCTCCATCACTGGATTTGCTAAAAAAATTGTCAACACAAATAACCACAATTCAAATTTGACATTAACACACTACAATACGCATGCGGAGTTGTTTTAACGCACCTACAAGAGGTGGGTTAAATATGTAAAATCGGTGTTAAATAACTTAGTAGTCACGAACGATTTAAGCAAATGAAAGTCTAGACACCGCTGTTGTAATAAACGTTATGAGTTAAATCCGAGTGAATCGAGTAAACGTCATGAACGCAACCCAGAAATAAAAAAAATCTTATATTTTGTAAAGCAAAACCACAGATACGCGCGCGACATAGGCTTAAAATCGCGAGGTTTTTTACCACAACCGTGCCTGAGCGCCCAAGAACATGTAGTTTTAAAGAGCCGGGGGCGAGTTGGGGCAGATAATTTATTGATGGCTTGATAGACAAAACTCTAAGCTATTCAACGGATCTTGAACTGATGCCTTACAATTCATTACAATTTTTGTAGCTCCATTGTTCTAAAAGCTCGATTCAAAGTTTGCGATTTTAACAGACCGATCTTGTCGGTTACGATAACCCGTTGTACAAGCAAAATCTGCCAAATACAAATACATATATGAATTTTAGATACTTTGAAGATCACCTTTCAACAAACCGCATAACAATCGGGCACACCAAACACAAGTTATTCACTTTTAAACAATAAACAATTTTCCGCAGCGATCGCGTGTAAAGTACCTTCAACTGAAAGCGTCAAGTTTAAACTGATGTACAAGACAAAATATACGTATTTTATATAATTTTTTTTCATTACAGGATGGAGACAGGTATTAACTACCCATCTAACTCAAAACTTACCTGAAAAAAAATGTCAATTTTTGAGGTTTTGCCGATATTTTCGAGAATTGAAACACTGTGCGCTGTATGGTTCAGTTTACTAAATATGTTGTTTGTAAAATAAGAGTTACTTCAACCTGAAGCACTCTGTTAAAACGATTAAAATAATTTGCCGTGCATTCCTTGTTGCATAGTGTGTACAGATAGCGGCAAAGGCGGTGTGGATCACGTGATGTTCTTTAATCTCGCCTCTGTTGACTTACATGAAGAATATATAAGCTCAGGTAGTCCTTTGCTTTGGTGTGACACTACAAGTTGTTCGATACTAAAGAGACCTTAAATAGGTGGAAACAGCTGTCAATATTTGAAGTATTTTAAGTTGGTGGAACGCACTAAAAACTTTATCTCTACACTGAAAAAATTGCATCATACAAAGTCAAATATATGGTGTAGTTGACCTACATATGTTTAATTGACTAAAATACCTGTATAATTAAATTTATCACGATTTATTTGAATTAACAATTTTCGCATATTTGTTATCCATCTATCACATGTTTGAATAATACATTTTTGAATGAAAAAGACGAGTTTCTTAAATCAAATAATTTATATTAATCAATTTATGATCATTTGGCTTAAATGCGTCTATTATTAGCTGAAGTCTACAAAATTTCTAGCACCTTTAAAGTTAAAATATTTGCATCAATAATTTCAAAAGCTAAACGAATAAAATAAATGTTTGTTACAAGTTTTTTCGTACTTGGCGTACGATTTTAATATGCCCGCAACGCATGCGCCGGCGATGTTTACAATGCACAGGACGCGTCGTTTAGTTTATGGTGAATGTGCGTGCTCCATTATGGAGCCTCCATAATCGACAGTCGACACGGTTTTAAATATCCGACCACTGCTGCAGTGGTACTGCAGTGCACTGGCTCCATTTTATGCGTTGGTGTCCTAATACTCTTTGGTCCTAATGTGCTCCTCTGTGCTTATGTGTAAATTCAATTTACTAAATTGTGACTTATCAGCCTGAATAATGGATGAATAAATAAATTAGTGCATTTAAAATAAATATTCGACGGTAAGTTTTAAGGGACAGCTATTAATATAATGTATTTGAATGAGAAATATATATTTTTACACTTTAAAATATAAATGGTGTTTTTCTTAAACAAGCCATGCTTAAACTTTTTAGTTAGGTATATTTAAATATTATGGTATTCCACATGAAATATTAAGATGCGAAATTAACTAGAACCACGTGGTTCATGACTAGAACATGGTACATGACTAGAACTTGCGAATGGAGAAGCTTTTTGTATGATTAATTTTTATCGCCTTTATAACTTATCTTCTCATCCATCTTTTTATAGAAAAGTAATTCATATCTTTTATAGAATAATTATAGAGATGTTTGGCACAAATTATCGATGTATTTGAATTGAATATATGGGTTGTTTATTGAAGCATCCACGTATTTAGGAAAAATTAGAGATACATTTGAATCAAACCGTGGAATATTTACACAAATTATTTCTCAAAAATATAAGAAATACTTAAGTTATTTACTGAAACATTTCTATGGTTGGTTTGACAACGTGCGGTGGTTTTCTGAAGTATATTTTTATTTGCTATAAGACATCACAAGTTTCAGTTGTTGCTACAGACAGCAGAGTGAAGCCCATATATAATTGAGGTTACTATATTTGTATTTTCTAGTAATTATTTTGTGTAGTTGATTCAATTTTATAAATGATTGGCTTATATCAAACATATATTTACTTGGTTCAAGTATATTTTTATTTAATACAATTATTTCTTTTTTCGGTGTAGCGAGTTGAAGGTTCAATTTTCTGGAATAATACCACTGGTAATATACTTGTAATGCGTCAAGGAACTTCCTGTTTCTTTTTTCCATTTTTACTTTGTAGTATGATTTAATTTCACCAAAAACACATATTTAACACTGAAAAGGAGTTCAATTTACACCAGGTAAAATTTATTTTAATACTGTGTGAAAGTTAAATTTACTTCATTTTAGTATTCGAATTTACACTGGACCAACGAACCTTATTTAACACCATTTTGGTTTGTATCGATATAGACCATGTATGGTGTTAATTTGGTGTTAAAATGGTCATGAAATTTTGAACAGTGTATGTATTTACAAAAGTCTTCTAAAAAGAATATAATATGTTTTTTTATTATACAAAAATAAGAATAAATGTGGTAAGAAGTATTATACTTTATGCTAATAATCACCCAAATAATTATTGACATCGGTTAAGTACGATAAATTAACTCTTGTTTGAAGTTCATGTTAGGCAAGTCGTGCCACATGTTTTCAAACTTGATGTAGCGGTCCAAAGGATAGAACAGTGGCTGGTTGTCGATAAAAAATGACCCACTGCCTGCTCTGGGGTAAAAATATTTACCCATGGGTTCATGTGCACCTTCGTATTCAACATACGGGTAAATGATGGTGAAAAATTGGTAGGGCATTCCTTGTTTTTTGCCCAGAGGTAGCATAAGACGTCGCGGGAAATGGAAATACTGTTGGGTGCCGTCCAAGTAGAATATCCCCCTATCATTGTAAGCATTGTCCACTTTGGTGTACAACTCGCTGTAGGTTGTGCGATCCGGTCCATGTAGAGGGTTCTCGGATGAGCTCCTTTTGATTTTGTTTTCCCCTCTTTTCAAAGTATGCACAAAGTGATCAAACTCAACATAGTTAAGTCTGTTTTCGCTGATGTTCATATAACGGCTGTACTCATCATACTTCGGACCCAAGAATATCTTTACCACCGCCTTGCCTTCCTTACTGGACTTAACAAGTATGTTATAGCTGAAGTCTTTATGGTTCAAACGGAACTGCTTAGCCTTCACTTTAAAATTGTCAGTGGGGTATTCTGAGGGTGTAACATAAACAGCGTTGCTGATATCAGACTCAAAAGGGTCGAAGAAAGTTTCCAAGCGATCAAAATCAACGCTCACTATTTCTACCCCATCGAAAGCCAACTCTTCAGATGTGTACACGGGTTTGTAGGACATGTATCTCTGGAAATCCAGTATGATTCGTTTGTACAACTGGTAGAAGGCTGGATCCCGCATGGAGGTCTCGAAATGTTCCAGGCTCGATGGTTGAAGTTGGTGTTTGGTTAAAGGTTGGTAGGCGTAGCCCAGCAAATGCCTCGCGTAAAATTCCATTGATCCGTAGAAGTTTGGAAGTGGGGAATCGGCGTTGCCCTGGATGATGTTTCCGAGGATATTCAGGCCATCTTTTGTCCACAAGTTGATTTTCTCGCCACTCATCTGAAAATAAAGTCATTAGAACTTTTAGAACAGTTAACGGCTGGTTTTTAACCCAACTCGCCATATTTGACAAGTGCAGTACCTCTCATTCTAAGGCTGTACGCTTTTTATTTGCATACGACTGTACGTATGTTGATTTTAGACAAAATCAAATTTAGTTAGTTACTTAGTTTCCATGTCAATTAGTGTCAAACAAAGTGAAACATCATAACATATAGATTTTTTGCGAAATTGAAATGAACATTTTGGAAGAAGAGCTTTGACATCCTGGAGGCAGCAAATACTGTAAATGAGAATTTATTACCAGCGAAATCCTGTCAAAAATATGAGAAACAATTTAAACATTTTGAAAACTGGTGCAACAACAAATGGACAAAAAGTTTTAAGGAAGAAGTGTTTAGGAAAATCATATCCGCCAAATACTTTTTGGAGTTAAAAAGTGTCCTAAAAGTTAATACAAATATGGATTTGAGTCTATATTAAAAATTAACATCATATATAAAAAAGGAAAATGTGGGATACCGACCAAAAAAGTCCAAAATTTTTGAGAAAGATGACATTTCAAGATTTATTAAAGAAGCACCAGATGAAATTTACCTTTTAATAAAAGTTACCACAATTTTTGGGTTGGCTGGTGCTTGTAGGCGAAAAGAGCTCTCAAAGATAATGATTGATGATATAGAAGATAAAGAAAATTTCGGACAGTAAAAATTACACATCAATAATCTTTGTGATATCTGATGAATTCAATAATGGTCATTACTTACAACTGTTTTGAAAATATTCAAATTTGCGAAAACCAAATACCCCACACAAGCGGTTTTTTGTCAATTATAAAAGGAGAGCATGCACTAGCCAATGTGTAGGAATTAATAATAATAATAATAATAATCCTGAGGAGTGCACAGGTCATAGTTTTGGAGGCTGGAAATCATAGAAGAATCCATGACCCAAAAAAAATATTAAATAAAATATTGGCTTCTTCTGAGTTAACCAAACTTAATTAAATAGTACAGCAAGTCACCCGTTGCATGAATTAACCTGTTCTACAATTAATTTAGAAAATATTAATAATTGTTAGGGTTCTTCATAAAAAATAATATTTCTTTTTATTTAATTTATATTATTAAAAAAAAAAATTAATTATAAAATGTTTTTGTTTTTTTTAAGAAATTTTTATTTATTACATATTATATTAATTGTTTTCTGTGCCTGCAGGCACATACATATATTTGTATTTGTATTTACCCGATTTTCAAATACCTACTCTCCAAAAAATTAATAGATTTTTATGTAAACAAGAAAATGCTTTTTTAGTAATATTCTTCAATATCATGGGACTTTTTAGGAAGTAAGGGTGGAAAAAGAAATGCTTACTAGAAATCAATCTGATCCAATCTTAACTAATATTTGTATCATAATTAGAACTAATTGATAAAATCCGAGGTTCCCAATTTTTTATCTGATATGATCAAGAGGACTTACTTTGGTGAAGTTTTATCTTTGCACCTCGGAACACAACACGTTCTTAGTCTTCTAATCATTTTTAGTTTAGTTTTTCTCCCTTAACACAATATCACACCGTGTGATTCACACGCCTCTTACAAAAAATGTCACCAACAAAGATAAAATTGCTGTTGACTGCCAACCCTAGAAAAAACTAGGTTGCCAACAACTACATCTATTGGAATATCCCATCACCCAACTTGAGACTAGAATCGCAATACTAGTGCACACCCAAGCATTCCCAAAATTTAACCAACGATAGCCTACCTAACTTAATCCAAACTGCTTTTGCATATTATTGGGCACAATTTGATCATTTATTGTTGGCCATCGCGATTGATTATATTGTACATTTATTGGCAAAACTTTTCCAAAGATGAAAGGCCAATTCTTGGCCAAGTTTTAGCCTGATATGGTTATCTGGGTTTAAGTATTTACAATAATTGTCGTGCAACTTACGTCTATTGCAAAACCTGAATCCATGGCATCGTGAACTCGTTGCTCGTAATCATTTATAAGAGTGTAGCCATAACCTTGCTTTCCTTTCCAGGTCCAGGTTTGGCCGTAGTTGTAAAAATATTCTTCCAGTCTTGCGAATTTAGGTCTCGATGGGAACTCCAAACCGTTTTGATATCTCAGTGAAGGTTCGTAGGGGGTTTCGAATGGAACTTGCCAGTTGATGTTTTTAATTTCACCGAAATCGTTTGAGAGCCTTTCCAGGTAGAATCTGGCCACAATTTTTTGATAGAAGTAGAAATAAAACTCACCACGTCTATCGTTTTGCATGCTGTAAGGTTCAGATGGCATCCAGTAGGGGTGATAGAGGTTGTAATAGTAGTAATATTGATTGAGGCCTATATCTTCCAAGAAGTATGACATAGATTGTTCTGGGTGTAAATTTAAATACTCTCCTGAGTAGTTAGCTTTAACGGTATGTGTTACGCTACCATCCCACACTTGCTTGTATTTTTGAGCCTCATTGATAACCCCAACATCGAAAAAGTAGAACGGGTATATCTCGTAGATAGGCGGTATGATAATCCCATAGGTATCCGGTCTGTGGACTATAGCTACAGAGATAGTGTACAGAAATAGGCCTTCGTTGATATTTTGACGGCACCATACTGCGAAATTGTGGAACGTCGTGAAATCGCTGGCGTGATAGAACATCTTAAAAAGCATTTTGACCTGCTGGAGGTGGTCATAATTGAACACAGAAAAAATGTCTCCCTTGGGCAAAAGATCATTGTACTCATAATGCTCCCAGAATTGGTCAAAGACTTTCGAAGGCTAAAATAGATTTCTTTTTATAAATAATATAAGTACTTTATAATATTGAACTCACACCAAATGAAAGTTTATTGGGTTTTGGGGACCAAAACAGAAGTATTAATGTATGTTCTACATAATACGTCGGCTGGTTTATGTACTTAAACAATAACAACACTTTTTTTTGTTTTTTCAAAAAAGTTTTGTCAGCTAAAACCATCGAAATGTATTTTTGGCCACGAATAGTATAAGATACTTACCAACTATATACTCCCCAAGTTTTTGAGTAACCGCAAATGCAAAAATGCTTAGCAATAATATCACCAGGAAATACTTCATGTTTGCAGACTCGCAAACCAAATATAAATACTTGTTAAAAAATTGACATGTTCATTTTTTTTGTTAACGTGTCTGATAATAAAAATTATTACACCAAATGATGCATTTTGCATGTTATTTGTTTTTTATTATATTATATTGATTACAATTTTATGACTATATTACGAATAAAAAATAAAATTTCTTTTAGGTACATACTTTTGATATCGGATAAGTATTTTGACGGTAGCGATTTTAATAACTTAAAAAATTCGTTTTTAAGGCAAAAATTGAGGTCGAAAATTTACATATCGTCCTGGGAAAGGTTTAAATCAAACAGATAACTCCAGTTTGATTTTTTTTTTCGTGAAGCTGACATTTTTACAAAAAAAAAACAAGCTAATGTTGATAAAAGTACATGGAAAAATGGCGAAGTTATGAATTTTTTAGTGGAAGACCAAAATTTAGCTTTTTATTATTTTTTTTCTTTTATTTTGTAATATGTTTATTCTTTAATGAAAATTTAATTTAAGTGCATGATTGGAATTTTTTGAGTTTTTTACGTACTTTTTTCACCGAAAACATTATTCAAAATTCAAATTTGACATTACTCCGCAAACGTGAATTCTTTTGTTTCTCGTGTTGGCATAGTGACATTTTACTGATATTTTTTGATATTTCAACAAGGTATTTTTATTATGGTTTTATTTAGTTAATAAAAAGTGTAAAATGAGTAAAAGAAGTAGAGAGTTCGAGTGCGTAAATAACCCGGACAATGTGGGCGACGTAAGTGATGAGCACGGAGAACGTTTTCACCAGCAATTGAAGGCTATGGAGCGGCGGTATCACGGCTTCTGGGATGCAGCCATGATGGGTGATTACATTTGGTCCCTCTTACAAGAAACGGAATACGAAAGCAACAAAAAACAAAAAATTTTAAGTGTGATTTTCTCGTTTAGTGAGCCAAACTACACAAGAAAATCATAGTGAGATATGGTGGACAAAATGTGTTATTACTACCTAAAACATTACCTAAATGACAAATAAAAATCAAATTAATAAAAAAGTTATTATATTTTTTCAAAATTTGACATTTTAATGCGTGGATTGTATATTTTTGGCATCGGTATGATAAATCAACTCTTCCTTGAAGTACATGTTAGGCATGTCGCGCCACATTTTCTCAAACTTGATGTAACGGTCGAAAGGATATGAAAGTGGGTAGTTGTCGACAAAATACGACCCACTGCCCACTCTGGGATAGAAAAATTCACCCATGGGTTCATGTTTACCTTCGTACTCAACATATGGGTAAACGATGGTGAAAAATTGGAAGGGCATTCCTTCTTTTTTGCCCATTGGTAGCATATAGCGTTGCGGGAACTGGAAGTACTGTTGAGAGCCATCCAAGTGAAATTCTTCTTGATTTTTCAAAGCGTTGAAGACTTTTTTGTACAAATCGTGATACGAGAGGCGATCTGGCCCATACATGGTGTTCTCAAAAGAGTTCCTTTTAATATTGTTATCCCCTGATTTCAAATCGTAAACGAAATGATCGAATTCAACGAAGTTGAGCCTGTTTTCGCTTATGTTGATATAGCGGCCATACTCATCGTACTTTGGACCCAAAAATATTTTTACCACCGCCTTGACATCCTTACTGGATTTAACATGTATGTTATAGTTGAAGGCTTTGTGATTCAAACGGTATTGCCTAGCGTACACTCTAAAGTCGTCTTTTTGGTATTCTTCCGGTGTAACATACACGACGTTGCTGATATCGGAATCAAAGGTGTCGAAGTAGGTAACCAAACGATCAAAGTCAACCCTCTCGATTTTAACCCCATCAAATGCCAACTCATCTTGGGTGTACACAGGTTTATAAGCCAGATACCTCTGGAAATACAACACAATTTTTTTGTACAACTGGTAGAAAGCTGGATCCCGCATGGAAGTCTCAAAATGTTCCAAACTGGATGGTAAAAGTTGGTGTTTGTTTAAAGGTTGGTAGGCGTAGCCTAGCAAATGCCTCGCGTAAAATTCCACTGATCCGTAGTAGTTTGAAAGTGGGGAATCAGCGTTGCCTTGGATGAGGTTTCCCAGGATGTTCAGGCCATCTTCTTTGAACATGTCGATTTTGTCGCCTTTTTCCTGAAAACAAAATCATCGTAAAATTATTGGCACACTGTTTAAAATATCTGTGGGTAAAGAGTAATCTTAAAATGGTGTCAAAATCCAACACCAAGTGGTGTTAATATAACACCATAAATTATGGTTGAATATGTTATATACAGCAAACACCAAAACGGTGTTTATCTAAAAAATATTTGAGAAGTGCACCTACACAGAAAAAAGGAATAGTTCATTTAACTATATTAATTTAGTTGACCCATAAGTATTTATTTTTGTATTTTTTTATTTTTATCAACTGTGGGAAGGTTAATATAAACAAAGATTAGTCTGACGGTACTAAACCAGATAGATATTTTTTTTAAAATTTAAATTTAAATTAACCCAGAAAACTTTAGTGAAACCAACCCGCTGTATGGTTCACTTTACTAAATATGTTGTTTGTAAAATAAGAGTTACATCAACCTAAAGCACTCTGTTAAAATTTGCCGTGCATTCCCGGTTGCATAGTGTGTACCGATCGCGGCAAAGGCGGTGTGGATCACGTGATGTTCTTAAATCTCGCCTCTGTTGACTTACATGAAGAGTATATAAGCTCAGGTAGTCCCTTTGCTTTGGTGTGACACTACAAGTTGTTCGATACTAAAGAGACCTTAAATAAGTGGAAACAGCTGTCAATACTTGAAGTATTTTAAGTTAGTGGAACGCACTAAAAACATTATTTCTAGCGTTTTGAAGGTTCCATTTTCTGGAATAATACCACTGGTAATATACTAGTAATGCGTCAAAGAACTTCCTGTTTCTTTTTTTTTCCTTTTTTCTGTGTAGTATGATTTAATTTGACCACAAACGCATAATATTTAACACTGAAAAGGAGTTCAATTTACACCAGGTAAAATTTATTTTAATACTGTGTGAAAGTTAAATTAAAACTATTTTAGTATTTGAATTTACACCGGACCAACGAACCATATTTAACACCATTTTGGTTTGTATCGATATAGACCATGTATGGTGTTAATTTGGTGTTAAAATGGTCATGAAATTTTGAAAAGTGTAAACAGCTAAAAGGCACTTACGTTGATTGCAAAACCGGAATCCATGGCATCGTGTAATCGTTGCTCGTACTCATTTATAAGAGTGTAGCCATAACTTTGCTTTCCCTTCCAGGACCAAGTTTGGCCGTAGTTGTAAAAATATTCTTCCAATCTTGCGAATTTAGGTCTCGATGGGAATTCCAGACCGTTTTGATAGCGCAGTGAAGGTTCGTAGGGGGTTTCGAATGGAACTTGCCAGTTGAAGTTTTGAATTTCACCGAAATCGTTTGAAAGTCTTTCCAGGTAGAATCTAGCTAATATTTGTTGATAGAAGTAGTAGTACAATTCACCGCGTTTGTCGTTTTGGATTTTATATTCTTCCGATGGCATCCAGAAGGGGTAGAAGAGGTTGAAATAGTAGTAAAAATTGTTGATACCAACATCTTCCATAAAGTAAGACATGGATTGTTCCGGATGTAAGTTCAAATATTCTCCTGAGTAATTAGACTTAATAATATGATACCCTTTCTGTGTTTTAACCCCATCCCACATTTGCTTGTATTTTTGAGCCTCGTTTATAACCACACCATCGAAAAAGTAGTTCGGATATATCTCGTAGATAGGTGGTATGATAATCCCATAGGTATCCGGTCTGTGGACTATAGCTACAGAAACAGTGTACAAAAATAGGCCTTCGTTGATATTTTGACGGCACCATACTGCAAAATTGTAGAACGTTTTAAAATCCTTGGCGTGGTAGAACATCCTGAAAAGCATCTTCACTTGCTGAAGATGTGCATAATTGAACACAGAAAAAATTTCTCCCCTCGGTAAAAGTTCTTCGTACTTATAGTACTCCCAGAATTGTTTAAATACATCCGGAGACTAAAAATTAATACATTGAATGATGTTTTTTAATTTCACTTAGGTATACTTACACCAAATTCATTTTCAAAGTCATCCCACTTCCATTTCTGAAGTATTTCTGTATGTTCCTTGAAATACGTTGGCTGATTTACGTATTTAAACAACAACAAGACATCTTTTTGATGTTCCAAGTACTTTTTGTCAGCTAAAATACCAACAAAATGTATTTTTGATCAGAAATAGTAATTAATACTTACCGACTTTATAGTGCTCACTCTTCTGGGTAAACCCAAATGCACAAAGGCTTAAAAATAATGTTACCACAAAATACGTCATGTTTGCAGGCCCGCAAAACATGCAAGTATAAACTATTTTTACTATGTGATGCTTTATATTAAGTATAAAGGTCAATTTCTTGACTTCTATAATCTAAATTATATGTTTTTAATAGCTGTGATAACGCTCTTTAGCGCCAATATAGTGTTTTTCCTCTCTCATCAAAATAAAACAACAGTTTATGGTTAAATGTTCTGCAGATTTTTTGGCGGCCTTTTATATATCGTAGGAATCGATGAAAAATCTGGTTGAAATTCACTTTTTCAATTTTGACACCATTGAATGTTAACTCTTCCTTGGTGTAACTTGGCAGATAACTCTTGTATCTCTGGAAAAACAATAGAATTCTTTTGTAAAGTTGGTAGAAGGCTGGGTCTCTCAACGAAGTTTCGTAGTGTTCCAATGCAGAGGGCACCAATTTGATATCTTCCAAAGGTTGCTCTGAATATCCTAATAGATGCCTTGAAAACGCTTCATAATGTCCATAGTACGACGGAAAAGCAAATTCGTGGTTATAATTGGCTATTAAGGCTCCTAAAGTATTGAAGGCCTTGGTAGAGTTCTTATCCTTATCGTTGCTGAAGAAGTATTTATCACCATTTGACTAAAAATTAATAAATTATTATAATCCTACCGATAGCTAATATTTTTGGCTTACCTTAAGTATGAAGCCAGCATCTATAGCATCAACAATTCTCCTTTCATAGTCTTTAATGAAAGAATAACTGTAACCATATTTGGACTTGAAACTCCATTTTTGTCCATAATTATAGAAATATTCGTGTAATTTGGCAAACTTAGGCCTTTCAGGGAAAGATAATCCATTTGGATGTCTCAAAGACGATTTAAATGGTGTTTCGAATGGGACATCGTAGTTGAAATAAGAAATTTCCCCAAAACCATTTGAGAGACGTTCCAGATAAAATCTTGATAAAAGTTGCTGGTAGTAATAATAGTACAATTCACCGCGATTTTCATATAAATTAAACTCCTTACCCGATAACCAGAAGGGGTTAAACAGGTTAAAGTAATAGTAGTAAGAGTTAAGACCGATATCTTCTGTAAAATAGTTAAGAGATTGCTCAGGGTTCAGATTCAGATTATATCCAGAATAATTTGCGTAAACCTCAAAATTCTTAATTTTCTCACCAGTAAAAGTCTGCTTATAAATATCAACCTCATTCAAAGATTCAGCGTTGAAGAAATAATGTGGATACACCTCGTATATAGGTGGCAAAACGACCCCCTTGGTATCGGGTCGGTTCAATATAGCAACGGAAAAAGTGTACAAAAATAGACCTTCATTGAAGTATTGCCTTGCCCATATAAAAGTTTTATAATCTTTATTATAGTACTCGTTCGACTTTTATAATCTAAATTTAATTTTTTTAATAGTTGTGATAATGGTCTTTAGCGACAAGGTTGTGTTTTTCCTTACTCATCAAAATAAAACAACTGTTTAAACATGGTTAGATCATATATTTCAGACAATTTCAAAATACATACACATTATTACTTGTGGTAGACTTTGGCCTCATAAGAGTACGAGTTTGGTACATCATGGAACATCTTCTCGAATCTGATGGGGCGATCGAACGGATATCCCAGGGGATACCCATCCAAACTGTTGCCTGTCCCTTTAACATAAGGCGCTATGAACACGTAGAACTGCAAAGGGGTTCCCTTTTCGGACCCTTTGGGCAACATCAATCTCCTTGGGAATTTGTAAAGCGATTCCACATAGTCCGTGGAAAATTCTGCAGATTTTTTGACGGCCTCGTATAAATCGTAGGAAGACGTCAAGTCGTTGGTGTAAAATCTTGATTCGTTTGAAGAACGCTTGATAATGTTGACACCCGATCTTAAGTTGTATTCGAAGCTGTCGAGTTTCACGAAGTTGAATCTGTTTTCTGCGATGTCGATGGAACGTCCGTATTCGTCGTATTTCGGCCCGAAGTAGATTTTGACGGTCGCCTTTACGTCCTTGTCGGATTTAACTTCTATGTCGTAGTTGAAGTCTTTGTTATTTAATCGTTTTTGTTTGATTGAGGCTCTGAATGTCCTTTTGTTGTATTCTTCCTTTGTGTGGTAAACAGCATTACTGACTACGGCTTTAAAATAATCGCAGTATGTTTCCAAGCGGTTGAAGTTCACTTTTTCAATTTTGACACCATTAAATGTTAACTCTTCCTTGGTGTAACTTGGCAGATAACTCTTGTATCTCTGGAAAAACAATAGAATTCTTTTGTAAAGTTGGTAGAAGGCTGGGTCTCTCAACGAGGTTTCGTAGTGTTCCAATGCAGAGGGCACCAATTTGTTATCTTCCAGAGGTTGCTCTGAATATCCTAATAGATGCCTTGAAAACGCTTCATAATGTCCATAGAACTGCGGAAAAGCAAATTCGTGGTTATAATTGGCTATTAAGGCTCCTAAAGTATTGAAGGCCTTGGTAGAGTACTTATCCTTATCGTTGCTGATGAAGTATTTATCACCATTTGACTAAAAAATAATAAATTATTAAAATTGCTATCGATAGCTAATATTTTTGTCTTACCTTAAGTATGAAGCCAGCATCTATAACATCAACAATTCTCCTTTCGTAGTCTTTAATGAAAGAATAACTGTAACCATATTTAGACTTGAAACTCCACTTTTGTCCATAATTATAGAAATATTCGTGTAATTTGGCAAACTTAGGCCTTTCAGGGAAAGATAATCCATTTGGATATCTCAAAGACGATTTAAATGAGGTTTCGAATGGGACATCGTAGTTGAAATAAGAAATTTCTCCAAAACCATTTGAGAGACGTTCCAGATAAAATCTTGATAAAAGTTGCTGGTAGTAATAATAGTACAATTCACCGCGATTTTCATATAAATTAAACTCCTTACCCGATAACCAGAAGGGGTTAAACAGGTTAAAGTAGTAGTAGTAAGAGTTAAGACCGATATCTTCTGTAAAATAGCTAAGAGATTGCTCAGGGTTCAGATTCAGATTATATCCAGAATAATTTGCGTAAACCTCAAAATTCTTAATTTTCTCACCAGTAAAACTCTGCTTGTAAATATCAACCTCATTCAAAGATTCAGCATTGAAGAAATAATGTGGATACACCTCGTATATAGGTGGCAAAACGACCCCCTTCGTATCGGGACGGTTCAATATAGCAACGGAAAAATTGTACAAAAATGGACCTTTATTGAAGTATTGCCTTGTCAATATGAAGGTTTTATAAAAAGTTTTATAATCTGTAGCATAGTACTCGTTCGACTTTTAAAATCTAAATTTAATTTTTTAATAGCTGTGACAATGGTCTTTAGCAACAAGGCGTTTTTCGTTACTCATCAAAATAAAACAACAGATTATGCATGGTTAAGTTATATATTTCAGACAATTTCAAAATACATCCTCATTATTACTTGTGGTAGACTTTGGCCTCATAAAAGTACGAGTTTGGTACATCATGGAACATCTTCTCAAATCTGATGGGGCGATCGAATGGATATCCCAGGGGATACCCATCCAAACTGTTGCCAGTCCCTTTTACATACGGCGCTATAAACACGTAGAACTGCAACGGGATGCCCTTCTCTGACCCTTTGGGCAACATCAATCTCCTTGGGAATTTGTAAAGCGATTCCACATAGTCCGTGGAAAATTCTGCCGATTTTTTGACGGCCTCGTATAAATCGTAGGAAGACGTCAAGTCGTTGGTGTAAAATCTTGATTCGTTTGAAGAACGCTTGATAATGTTGACACCCGATCTTAAGTTGTATTCGAAGCTGTCGAGTTTCACGAAGTTGAATCTGTTTTCTGCGATGTCGATGGAACGTCCGTATTCGTCGTATTTCGGCCCGAAGTAGATTTTGACGGTCGCCTTTACGTCCTTGTCGGATTTAACTTCTATTTCGTAGTTAAAGTCTTTGTTATTTAATCGTTTTTGTTTGATTGAGGCTCTGAATGTCCTTTTGTTGTATTCTTCCTTTGTGTGGTAAACAGCATTACTGACTACGGCTTTATAATAATCGCAGTATGTTTCCAAGCGGTTAAAGTTCACTTTTTCAATTTTGACACCATTGAATGTTAACTCTTCCTTGGTGTAACTTGGCAGATAACTCTTGTATCTCTGGAAAAACAATAGAATTCTTTTGTAAAGTTGGTAGAAGGCTGGGTCTCTCAACGAAGTTTCGTAGTGTTCCAATGCAGAGGGCACCAATTTGTTATCTTCCAGAGGTTGCTCTGAATATCCTAATAGATGCCTTGAAAACGCTTCATAATGTCCATAGTACTGCGGAAAAGCAAATTCGTGGTTATAATTGGCTATTAAGGCTCCTAAAGTATTGAAGGCCTTGCTAGAGTACTTATCCTTATCGTTGCTGAAGAAGTATTTATCACCATTTGACTAAAAAATAATAAATTATTAAAATCCTACCGATAGCTAATATTTTTGGCTTACCTTAAGTATAAAGCCAGCATCTATAGCATCAACAATTCTCCTTTCATAGTCTTTAATGAAAGAATAACTGTAACCATATTTGGACTTGAAACTCCACTTTTGTCCATAATTATAGAAATATTCGTGTAATTTGGCAAACTTAGGCCTTTCAGGGAAAGATAATCCATTTGGATATCTCAAAGACGATTTAAATGAGGTTTCGAATGGGACATCGTAGTTGAAATAAGAAATTTCCCCAAAACCATTTGAGAGACGTTCCAGATAAAATCTTGATAAAAGTTGCTGGTAGTAATAATAGTACAATTCACCGCGATTTTCATACAAATTAAACTTCTTACCCGACAACCAGAAGGGGTTAAACAGGTTAAAGTAGTAGTAGTAAGAGTTAAGACCGATATCTTCTGTAAAATAGCTAAGAGATTGCTCAGGGTTCAGATTCAGATTATATCCAGAATAATTTGCGTAAACCTCAAAATTCTCGATTTTCTCACCAGTAAAAGTCTGCTTATAAATATCAACCTCATTCAAAGATTCAGCATTGAAAAAATAATGTGGATACACCTCGTATATAGGTGGCAAAACGACCCCCTTCGTATCGGGACGGTTCAATATAGCAACGGAAAAAGTGTACAAAAATAGACCTTCATTGAAGTATTGCCTTGCCCATATGGAAGTTTTATAAAAAGTTTCATAATCTTTAGCGTAGTAAAAGAGTTTGAATAGTACTTTCACTTGTTCGACATGTTTATCATTGAAAATAGAAAAAATTGCCCCCCTAGGCAAAAATTCCTCATACCTATAGAAATCCATGAAGTTTTTGTACGCTTGGTGATCCTAAAATGACATTTCAATAAATGTATAACGTTAAATGTAATGAGATAGAGCTTACTTTGTAAAAATCCGCATGGTTCTCAATTTTAAACTCTTCAGCGATTTTTATAAATTCCTCATTAAAACTAGGTTGTTGTATCAAGTAAAACAACTTTAAAACACCCAATTGTTTACTCAAAAATTCCTTATCATCTAAAAACATTAAATTGTTAGATTTAAAATCGCATATTTTGGGATTTTTAGCACAATCCGGCAACGCAGCATAAATGCACAATCCGGCTACGCTGGTTTGTTAGAACTACTCGCATCAGTACATCGTGCCTACTTTGACTAGTTTTTAAGAAGTATGTTTAATTTTTGTTTAATCTTGATTGGACAGTTTTTTTAAGTTTAAATCACAGACCTACAGGTCTGTGGTTTAAATAAAAGCATCATTAAATAAGATTATCAGGAAAAAAAATTTAAAAATTCACAAAAACGTTTTAGTGAGGTACCTAGTAGTACCTATAATATCCATTATTTTTTGATGTAAATAAATTTTTTCTGATTTAAAACTGTTTGCTAATTTTGTGTTTTTGTCATTTTTGACCCCAATTTGTAGAAAAGTAAATATAGTACTTACCAATTTTGCCAATGTCTTGTGTAGGTGATGACAAAGATAATGCTGCAAAGCCCAGAAGGGCGGTTAAAATCACTAATTTCATTTTTGTTTGTCTTTCAAAGACAAACTTTAGAAATCTGATGGTTGAAGTTGGGTTTAATTGGTTTATATACCTTTAATTTTGTTATCATGTTACATTAAAAATTGGTTTACAAAATTTTCCTAGGAATTTTTTTAAGGTAATTAAGGGATAATTAGTAAAACAAATCACTGCATTATAATATTATTTACTATCAATTAAAGACATAATACATTAAAAAAACTGTATAACCTTAAACAACCTTATACCTAGCCTTATTAAAGGTGTGGTGACCGGCCGTTTGCAATTTAAGCAACTCTTCTTTGATTAATCTGGTAATTTCGGATTTTGCTTTAGAAACGGCTATATCTGAAGTACTTTCAATCGCCAAGTACAATTTTCTTTCACCTTCAGGGGGCGACTTTCCTGTAGGCACATACGTACCTCTAACTGTAATACCGGCTTCGGAATATTCAGAAATTTGAGCCAAGGCTTCCTGAAAAAATTATTAAAATTATGCTAAAACCATAAAAGGAATTGTCTTGTTTTGTTAAAAGTTGGGCGCCAAAATGTCAAAACTACAATTTTGATGTTTTTGCAGTATTTTAATAAAAATACATAAATAAATTAATTTTAAACAAAATAAAAAATACTTGGAAAAGATTGTTTTATTGAAAAAAATAGTCTGAAGATAACAGTTCTTAATGCTCATTTATATCTTATTACCAAAGAATTTATAATTAATTATTATTCTAATTTGTTTATTGTTTATTATTTTAATTAATTAATGTTTATAATGTGTTTTAAGATTTCCATATGAGTTGCTAAATATTCTCATTAAAAGATTGCACAAATATTTTTCTGTTGTTAAAAAAATACAAATTTCATCCAAAAAGTTTAAGATGGTATTTTATCATTATTTTTGAAACTTTTTATGTTGAATTTAAAAATAAAAACAAAATTTTAAATTTGTATAAGTATATGAACATTTTTTGCAAGTTGGCTTCAGAATATAAAAGTTTAGAGGTTTCTACGTAAGGTACTATGGAAATAAAATAATAAATTAATAAAAAAACTATTTTTTCTTATTCAATTTAATATATTATTTAATATTTACCTAATAAAAATTTTGAAGAAAAAATACATGTTTTTTATTCGGAATTTGAATTAGAGTATTGTGGTTATGTTATAATTATATGAGTTTAAAAACATGTCGCGAATTTTTTTCCAGTCTTCTCTGAATTGTTTTTCAAAATTTCATACAATAGGTGTATCAAATTTTGAAAGTTTTGCCAAGCATAAATATTCCATAATTTTATTTTGGTGAAAGCTTCAAAAATATCTTTTAGCAGGTTAATCTGTGGCATTGTAAATTATTTCTTTAAAATACTGTTTCGTTTTTATTTATTTTTTTAGTTTAAGTTTTTTGTTATGCATTGTTGATTATAATTATAACAATTAAATGATAAATATTTAAAATTACGGCCTTGAACAGGAGTACCAATTTTAAATATTAAAAATACCAAAGCATTTTGACATAATGTTGGTACCTACCACAGTGTCAAATTATTATAAATAAAAAATAAAATAAAACACTATAATACGTTATTAATTTGTTTGTAATATCTAATATTTGGAGGATAACGGCTTCCTCATTTGTCTGATTTTTTTTTGGCAATTTGTACATCATAGAAACGTTCAAACGTAAGTTTTTTTCTATTATCAACGAGTTGGGTATTGTTTGCATCACCCGTTATATCGATGACTTTCTGCCAAAGTATCGTAAGCAACATAACTCAAATTTCGGGAATTGAAAACATTTTTTATTTTAAAATCTGTTTTAACCCATATATAACCTATAGGTTTTATAACAAGTAAATAGCTATAATTATAAGCTATTTACTTGTTATAAAACCTTTAGGTTATATTTAATTTGAAACAGTCTTTAAGACAAAAAATGTTTTCAATTCCCGTAACTTTAGTTATGTTGCTTACGATACTTTGGCAGAAAGTCATCGATATCATCTTCAAAGGGGCTAGCTCCCTTATAAGTTATAAAACATAATATTTTTTACCCCTTACTTTTTCTAATAGTAGGACTAGGAGTAGTATATTATTATCAAGTTCGATAAATGTCATTTTAGTCAAGTATTTTAATTAGGCACTAAAGAGCGAGTTTCTAATTAAATGAGTGTCTAAAAAAGTTTATAAATGATTTGCATACTATACTTTTCTACGACAAATACTATAAAAAATCGCGTTCCAATTTGGGGATCTGTATTACTGGCTCGCCAGTCAAAATGTTTACATTTGTATGTGTAAATAAAAAGTTATCCCTCGAAAATGGACTATCAACCGTTTAAATCGGAAGCAGTTTTTTACAATAAAAGTGAAGAGAATGTTTTATGGGCACTCACGGTGGGTCTCCACTAGGGTTTTAAATTTCCGGAAAAATTGAGCCGGCGGAAAAAAACAGTTTTTTTTCGGAAAAAAACAGAAAAATTTAAAAAATTATAGTTTTTTTTTCATTTTATTCAAAAGGTATTGCAAAAAAATGCAAGTCAATTTTTCTGAAAATTTACAAATTTTTCTTTTTCCGACGCTTATTATATCATAATATTATGATGAATATTATAATTATTTCTTTTATTTAATTCGCTAAGATTTTATTTTTTTCTACCGGGACGCAAAAAACATATTCGGTGCTGTTAATGGACTTCTTTTTGCAAAAAAGTCCCAACCGACGGTATATTTAACGTTTACTTTTATTTTCTTAATTCAATGAATTTAATAAAATTTATTCAATTTAGTTTTTTTTCTGTAACGAAGGATATATTTTTTAAATTTATTTAATGTTAAGATGTTGTTTGCTACTTTTTTTAAAAATATGTATATATTTAAAAAAAATCTATTTTTTCCCAAAAAATCCAATTTTTCCAATGCCTGGGACAAAAATACCTTAAAAAATAATACAAAGTTCCTACAAAACATAATTTTTAATTAGGGATGTTGTGTTATTTGTCACTTTTAATTATCAACATTGTCATTTGAAAAATAAAATATATTGTATAAACCAGATTTTAAAGTTATGTAATATGTATTAAATAATTCATTAAATTAAGAACTGTGTTTATGAAATAAATTGTTCACTAAATTATCAAATATTGTATAAACCCAGCTTTAGACTCCACCCGAAATTTTTAGCTATTGACGTTGAGAAACTAATTTATACTTTTTATTTTGTATCAAGATAATAAAATAATTTTTATATTTAGTATTATTTTACGAGAAAGGCACTTTATTTTAACGACTATATGACATTTAAAAACTGTCAATTAACTTAAAACTAACTTCAGCCCGTGACTAAAAATCTGAGGCTAATTTTAGCCCGTGACTAAAGCGCCATCCCTGATAGCACAGTTTATTCTAAGAATGTTTTTTAAACCTTCCAGTGAGAATATTCTTAGGATCATGCTATATTACTTCTAGTCATGTTCTAAGAATGTTTTTTAAACCTCCCAGTGAGAATATTCTTAGGATCATGCTATATTTCTTCTAGGCATGTTCTAAGAATGTTTTTTAAACCTTCCAGTGAGAATATTCTTAGGATCATCCTATATTTCTTCTAAAGAACATGCTTAAAAGAAATATAGCATAATCCTAAGAATATTCTCACTGGCCTCTAGGCAGGTTCTTAGAAGGTGCAAAGTTTAGTGGTAAAAATTAATCGACTCTAAGCATATGCTTAGAATGTTGAGAAAGTAATTAGTATTAAATACTAAGTAAAAAACAACCCAAAATATTTTTTATAGTTATTTATCAAATTAAAACAATATTAGATAACAAAAATACTTTTGCTATAGGTATCTAAATTATCCGGCTTTTACATAAAATCTTCTATCCAACTTAAATACAATGAAAAATGTTTTTTTTATGAAGAACTTTTTGGTTTTTTCTTTTATGAAGAATTATTTTTTAAGTAAATATTTTGTTTTTTATATTTTATTTAATGTTAAAAATAATATTTATTAATTTGTATACCGATTTTTTATTTCTGAATTAACATTTTTATGTATAATAATCCTAACTATCTTCAACTTCAATCTAATCTGACTTATCCCACAAAATTTTCCAATTTTACTTTTTATGTAATAATGTCATACAACTTATGGTTTAGAGGTCAAATTGTTTATTTTAATACTTTTAAATAAATATATATTAATATGTCACAAAAATTTTTAAGGGGACGACAAATACATTTCACTGTCATATTATGACAGTGAGGCGTATTTGTCGTCTCCTGAAGAATTTTACGAATGTAAAATACAACATATTAGAACGTGGGTATCTGACATATTTGGAAATATTCTCAAAAGCTTCCTAGAAGCTCCATAAGAAACCTTCTAAGAACATTCCAAAAACGTATTCTTAAAATGTTCTTAGATTGCTTTTTAGGAAGGTTTTAAGAAGCTTCTAAGAATCTACTTGCATCATTAAAAGGGTATCTATTGAATGTTTTAAAAGTCCCTAAGAACATTCTTAGCAATAAGGGAAGGTTCTAAGAATATTCCATTATTCCGAGTCGTATCTTCTTAGAAGATTCTTAGAATCAAATTTTGCTATCAGGGATAAAGCCACAACTTGTCAATGTGTATTTAAATGGTCACTAAGTGTCATGGAAACATGTTTTAAAGGTGGGAGTAGAAAAAAAAACTTACTTTAGATGTGACTCTCCACCTTGCTTGTTGGGGGAAATCGTTTATCTCCAACTCCTCCTCGTATTTCCTGAACGTCTGCTCCGAATCGTCGTCCAAACGATCCTCATCGTCTTTAGGTTGATAGTTCAGCTTCGTGTTGAGCTTCGCGGCCAGCTGCTCAGCTACCGTCTTAGCGGTTATCGGAGGCTGGCTTCCGCTGCCCTTGAGGATCGATTCCGCAGCTTGCTGCGTAGCGAACTTCGTGTCCAGGCTCGAGTTTTTGGTCAGGTTGATTTTCGAGGCCAACCTTTTCGCCAGCTCCAGCTTGTCGACGGCCGTGCCGGTGTTCCCCATGGTGGCGTGGTTGATGATGCCGAGCGGAGCCTTGATCTCCTTCACCGTCCTCTTCGTCGCGAACATGCTCTCGATCTGCTGGTCGATGTCGTGCTCCAAGTCTTCGTCGTCCGAGTCGGCCAGGCCGAGCGCCGCCTTCTGGAACTTCTTGCGCTCGTTGACTGCGGCGGCTTCGTTCTCGTCGAACTTGAAGCCTTTGCCGCTGAAACCGCCCCCCGAGTGCACCTTCTTGCCCTCCGATTCCTGCTTCTGCTTGTAGCTGTCCCAGAGAGCGCGGAGCGCCTCGGGGACCGGCACGGTGGCCAGCTCCAGCGCCCGGACTATGTCGCCGGCGTATCTCGACTGCTCCGGGGTGATGAAGGTGTAGGCGAAACCTGCAAGACGCAAGTTGGTCCAGGAAACAAAGATCGTAGAAGGAAAACTCGATGGTAGTCGGGTTTTATTTTTTTTATGTAGAGTCAGAGGTGCTGATAATGAATCAAGAATATTCCCCAAAATTTGTGTTTCAATTCTGGAAAATATCGGCAAAACCTCAAAAATTGACATTTTTTTTCAGGTAAATTTTGAGTTAGATGGGTAGTTGTCTCCATCCTGTATTGAAAAAAAATTATATAAAATACGTATATTTTGTCTTGAACATCAGTTTAAACTTGACGTTATTGTTTAAAAGTGAATAACTTGTGTTTGGTGTGTCCGATTGTTATGCGGTTTGATGAAGGGTGATCTTCAAGGTATCTAAAATTCAGATACGTGCTTGGAGCTACAAAAATTGTAAAGAATTGTAAGGCATCAGTTCAAGATCCGTTGAATAGCTTAGAGTTTTGTCTATCAAGCCATCAGTAAATTAGCTGCCCAACTTGCCCCCGGCTCTTTAAAACTACATGTTCTTGGGCGCTCAGGCACGGTTGTGGTAAAAAACCTCGCGATTATAAGCCTATTTCGAGCGCGTATCTGTGTTTTTGCTTTACAAAATATAAGATTTTTTTTTATTTCTGGATTGCGTTCATGACGTTTACTCGATTCACTCGGATTTAACTCAAAACGTTTATTATTACAACAGCGGTGTCTAGACTTTCACTTGCGTAAATCGTTCGTGACTACTAAGAAATTTAACACCGATTTTACATATTTAACCCCCCTCTTGTAGGTGCGTTAAAACAACTCCGCATTGTAGTGTGTTAATGTCAAATTTGAATTGTGGTTATTTGTGTTGACAATTTTTTTAGCGAATTATGAAATCGTTTCTAAAATATGAAGTAAAAGAAATAATTCAAATTTAAAATACTTAGTATAAAATCTGTTATATTTAAATTTTATAAATAATTTTTGGGAGAAAACGATGGAAGATGTTTTCAATTGGCTTATGGCATCTTCCGATCCGTATATTTCTAGCTTTAGAAAAATTGCTCCGAAATAGAGCAAATCTTTGTCCCGCGAAGAAATAAAACTGTTGCTATCTTCTGATGGTTTCCCATGCTCTGCTAATGATACAACGAGCGAATCCAGTGACGGAGATTATTAAATAATATCATATAAATGTAATTATAATAAACTAAATTAAGCTATTTTATAAAAAGATGTTTTATTACATTTTAAAAAGAACCTCTTACGGATTTTTAATTAATTTCGACAATATTTGATAAAAATGTCCGCCATTTTGAATTTTAGAATTCTGATTTGAGATTCATTATCAGCGACCACAAAAACCCCTGTATGGTGATTTTCAATTTATTCCGTCAATTTTTTGACAAATATGTCCGCCATTTTAGATCTACCATTTTGAATTTTGGAATTCGTTATCGTTATCAGCGACCCCAAAAACCTCCTCTTAACGAATCCGTAGTTTTTTTAAATTATTTTCATTGCAAGTGCCCCACAAAAATTAAATCTTGAAAAAAACCGTAAAATATGAAAAAAACCATTTGAAAAAAAACCTGAAAAAAAAAACAAAAAAAAAACGCATCTCTAGTAATTTTTAACGCACCTTTATTGCCGGCCCTTCCCGTCCGGCCGCATCTATGAACGTAGTCCTCGTAATGGTTCGGGCAGTCGTAATTCACCACCAGTATTAGTTGCTTTACATCCAACCCCCTGGCTGCTACCGAAGTGGCAATCAAAAGTTTGACTTTCCCCGATTTGAAATCTATTATGGTGGAGTCCCTGTCAAACTGGTCGATACCTACAAAAAAATGTATAATTTTTTATGCACTTCACATATTGTGAGTATGTTTTTACCCCCGTGTAAGCTTAGGCAGTTATAGGCAGCTTTCATCAATTCTTTCAGTAAAATATCGGCATTTTCTTGCTTATCAACGAATACAATAATGCTTCCATGTTCTTGGTATAAACCTAGCAATTCTAGAAGTTTCAAAAACTTGTTGTCCTCTTCAATGATAACCACGTTTTGTTCGACCTCTTTGCAAACCACAGATCTACCACCAACCTATAGCAAATAGTATATTATGTATAAACGAATTTAATTTAATTTGCGAGCGAGTGTTTAATTAAATGAAAAAGTTTATACTATCCTTTTTCTACGACAAATACTTAATATATGATTTAAATTAAATATAAATTTTCTGTGTAAATCAAAATTTATCCCTTAAAAATCGATATAGAAGCCGTGTTTACAGTAAAAGAGAAGAGAATGTTTTATGGGCACTGTACACAAAATTTTTACGCTTTATCAGTTAAATTTAGTTAACTGCACTACTACGCGGAAATCAAAAGGTTTATATAATCTTTTTTATATATTGGCGTCAAGAAAAGATTTAATACTTTTGTATTTTTGTATTGAGATAATAACATAATTTTCACATATATTATTACTTTACAAAAAAGGCACTTTATTTTAATGATTGTATGACATTTAACAACTGTCAACCAAGATACATACACCTTAAGATAGGATGGTGCGCATGTTGGGCGGGGATTAAATACGTCACTTGATGAGTGTTTTTAAATCTTTAACGTGCTTTTTAATTATCTGCTGCTAAAATTCTTGTTTTTGCGATACTTTTGTATATTAACTTGCTCTACTTTTTGTTTAACTTGTCGTTTTTGTGTTCGATAAGGTTCGAATTACTTTTCAGCGTTCAAATTATTGTTATTGCGTTGTGTTAACCTGTTTGGTTTGTTTATTATTGTTTTTGTGTTGCGTTAACTTGTTTTGTTTGTGTTTAAGATTGTGTAGTGCCATTTGCACCGCTTCTGTTTCCTATAAACATTTTCTGGACAGGGACTATAAGTTTAATTTAAAACACCAACGCTTAAACTACAGCCCTAAATGTTATCAAGGAATGAAAGCATCTATTATCCATATTATAACACTTTCTTCAATATTAAGTTTAATAAACAAGCACTATATATATGTCAAGATATTTCTCTATTTTCTTTGATAATATTACTATTATTCGTGTATTCTCACGGCAACTACTCATCAAGTGACGTCATGCGCGGGACGAACCAAAACTCGTACACGGGAGCATCCAGCCCTGACTGTCAACTAACTTTAAGCTAACTTCAGCCCGTCTTTTCAGGTTATGTCTTTGACTATACTTTGACAAATACATAACCTGAAAAGCCTTAAATACCAAAATATTCACGTAGTGGGACTTTGAGGTGTGAAACATAGTACAATTTCGTATTTTTTTTTTTAATTTGTTTGTAAAATTGTAGGTAATCAAAATTTTTGTGAGCTTGGTGTTTTAAACATTTTAAGATTTGTTGAAATGTGTTTTTGAGATTCTAAAACGTTGTTTTGACATTTTAAAATTTAGTTCTTTAGATTTTATAAATTAAATGTGTTTTACCTTAAATTTTAATGTTTTATATTATGTTATTTTCAAAATACCAAGTGTTTTTTCCATTTTAAGTTGTGTTTTCAATCTCAAGCATATATGCACAAACTTTATTTTGTTTTTGCGACTTAAATCAACGTTGAGTTGAATTTTATTGTGGCAACAGTGGGCTGTTAGGTCCCTCCCACAATGACTTGCGCACGCGTAGTGTGGGAGGGACCAAACAGCCCACTGTTGCCACAATAAAATTCAACTCAACGTTGATTTAAGTCGCAAAAACAAAATAAAGTTTGTGGAAGTAATGATATTCGTATTTACTTGTAATAAAACATTTTTAACTACCTAAAACCTTAATGTTTTGTTTAATATAATAATAATAAACAATGGACTAATAAGTCCCTCCCCCACTGACCTAGACTAAGTAAAGGGAACGTTGCTTGAACTTTAATTTGTTTCCGATATTTTAAAACGATTTTTGACATTCTAAAATATGCTTTTATCATTATTAAATGATGTGGTTGTTTTTAGAATTTAAGATGAACCATTTTTTCTCTTACCTGAACTTCGATGGGCCTCTGCAAGATCCTGCGCGCGAGCGCCTCCATCTGCCGGGGAAAAGTCGCACTGAACATGACGGTCTGCCGATCGGGGCGCACGTTGTCGATGATGCGCATCACCTGCGGTTCGAAGCCCATGTCGAACATGCGGTCCGCCTCGTCCAAGACTATGTAGCTGACGCGGCGCAGGTTCGTCACCTTGCCGCTGTTGGCGGCGAGCATGTCGATCATGCGGCCCGGCGTGCACACTATGATCTCGGCGCCCCGCTTCAGCTCGGCTATCTGCTCCGATATCCCCGTGCCGCCGTACACGCACACGGCGTGCAGGTTCAAACTCTTCGTGAACTTCTTGATGTCCTTGCCGATCTGCATGCACAGCTCTCTGGTCGGGGTCATGATGATGGTGATCGGACCGTCGGTTTCCTCCAGAGGAGGTTGGTCCAAAATGTGCCTGAACATCGGCAACAAAAACGCAAGCGTTTTACCGCTTCCCGTTTTCGCGATACCGATCAAATCCCTACCGGACATAATGGCCGGTATACCTTGCGCCTGGATAGGAGTGGGCTTCTCGAAGCCCATTTTTTTCAGGGTGTTCAGTTCCTTAGTGGAAACGCCGCATTGCGCCCACGTTTTGATGGGCTTGGGACACCCTTTACCTAAGAAAAACGATCAAAATGGTAAAACGCATGCACTGTTGCCAAGTTTATGAGTGTTTTAAGAGATAAAATTGCTGTTAAGCGTTTTTTAATATGATTTCAACGATTTTATAACCATTTTTTTTTATATTTCGTCGATTTTAAAACGCATGCACTGTTGCCAAGTTTATCAGTGTTTTAAGAGATAAAATTGCTGTTAAGCGTTTTTTAATATGATTTCAACGATTTAATAACCATAATTTGTATTTTTTATCCATTTTAAAACGCATGCACTGTTGCCAAGTTTGTGAGTGTTTTAAGAGGGAAAATTGCTGTTAAGCGTTTTTTAATATGATTTCAACGATTTTATAACCAATTTTTTTTATTTTTCGTCGATTTTAAAACGCATGCACTGTTGCCAAGTTTAGGAGTGTTTTAAAAGATAAAATTGTTGTCAAGCATTTTTTATTATGATTTCAACGATTTTATAACCAATTTTTTTTATTTTTCGTCGATTTTAAAACGCATGCACTGTTGCCAAGTTTAGGATTGTTTTAAAGGAGAAAACTGCTGTTAAGCGTTTTTTAATATGATTTCAACGATTTTATAACCAATTTTTTTATTTTTCGTCGATTTTAAAACGCATGCACTGTTGCCAAGTTTATGAGTGTTTTAAGAGATAAAATTGCTGTTAAGCGTTTTTTAATATGATTTCAACGATTTTATAACCATTTTTTTTATTTTTCGTCGATTTTAAAACGCATGCACTGTTGCCAAGTTTATGAGATAAAATTGCTGTTAAGCGTTTTTTAATATGATTTCAACGATTTTATAACCAATTTTTTTATTTTTCGTCGATTTTAAAACGCATGCACTGTTGCCAAGTTTATGAGTGTTTTAAGAGATAAAATTGCTGTTAAGCGTTTTTTAATATGATTTCAACGATTTTATAACCAATTTTTTTTATTTTTCGTCGATTTTAAAACACATGCACTGTTGCCAAGTTTATGAGTGTTTTAAGAGATAAAATTGCGTTTTTTAATATGGTTTCAACGATTTTATAACCATTTTTTTATTTTTCGTCGATTTTAAAACGCATGCACTGTTGCCAAGTTTATGAGTGTTTTAAAAGATAAAATTGCTGTCAAGCGTTTTTTATTATGATTTCAACGATTTTATAACCAATTTTTTTTATTTTTCGTCGATTTTAAAACGCATGCACTGTTGCCAAGTTTATGAGTGTTTTAAGAGATAAAATTGCTGTTAAGCGTTTTTTACTATGATTTTAACGATTTTATAACCAATTTTTTAATTTTTCGTCAATTTTAAAACGCATGCACTGTTGCCAAGTTTATGAGATAAAATTGCTGTTAAGCGTTTTTTAATATGATTTCAACGATTTTATAACCAATTTTTTTATTTTTCGTCGATTTTAAAACGCATGCACTGTTGCCAAGTTTATGAGTGTTTTAAGAGATAAAATTGCTGTTAAGCGTTTTTTAATATGATTTCAACGACTTTATAACCAATTTTTTTATTTTTCGTCAATTTTAAAACGCATGCACTGTTGCCAAGTTTAAGATTGTTTTAAAGGAGAAAACTGCTGTTCAGCGTTTTTTAATATGATTTCAACGATTTTATAACCAATTTTTTTTATTTTTCGTCGATTTTAAAACACATGCACTGTTGCCAAGTTTATGAGTGTTTTAAGAGATAAAATTGCGTTTTTTAATATGGTTTCAACGATTTTATAACCATTTTTTTATTTTTCGTCGATTTTAAAACGCATGCACTGTTGCCAAGTTTATGAGTGTTTTAAAAGATAAAATTGCTGTCAAGCGTTTTTTATTATGATTTCAACGATTTTATAACCAATTTTTTTTATTTTTCGTCGATTTTAAAACGCATGCACTGTTGCCAAGTTTATGAGTGTTTTAAGAGATAAAATTGCTGTTAAGCGTTTTTTATTATGATTTCAACGATTTTATAACCATTTTTTTATTTTTCTTCGATTTTAAAACGCATGCACTGTTGCCAAGTTTATGAGTGTAAGAGGGAAAATTGCTGTTAAGCGTTTTTTAATATGATTTCGACGATTTTATAACCAATTTTTTTATTTTCCGTCGATGTTAAAACGCATGCACTGTTGCCAAGTTTATGAGTGTTTTACGAGATAAAATTGCTGTTAAGCGTTTTTTATAATGATTTCAACGATTTTGTAACCAATTTTTTTATTTTTCGTCGATTTTAAAACGCATGCACTGTTGCCAAGTTTAGGATTGTTTTAAAGGAGAAAACTGCTGTTAAGCGTTTTTTAATATGATTTCAACGATTTTATAACCAATTTTTTTATTTTTCGTCGATTTTAAAACTCATGCACTGTTGCCAAGTTTAGGAGAAAACTGCTGTTAAGCGTTGTTTAATATGATTTCAACGATTTTACAACCAACATTTTTATTATTTATTGGTTTGAAAGCGCGTGCACTGTTGCCAAGTTTACATTTTTTCCCAGATTTAGGGATTTTCTTCAAAAAATCTTACCTTTCACTCTAATGCCCTCCATTTCCTCCTTATAGGCGTCCACCTCATCTTGGGTCATTTTAGCGATTTCCGGGACTTCGACATAAAAACTCTTCCTAAACGAAATGTACCGGATGTTATCGTGATCAATTTTGGCCAATTCTTTTTTCTGTTTATTAGCTATATTAGCCGCAGTATCCTTCAAATCTTCTTGCTCTTCCTCAGAGGAATATTCGAGACCGTCTTGATTCTGCTCTATTAACTCTCCCTTATTTTTACTGGCTTTGGCTTTGGCAACGCCGCTTACAATGACCATGGAGCTTTTAGTATCGTTCGAGCCGGGTTTCTTTACTTCAAATTTGTTGATTTTGCGAACCTCTTCTTGTACACTCTTCATGAACTCATCCAGAGGGTCCACATCTTCTTCCGGGGCTTTTTCCGGTTCTGGGGGTTTAGGGGGTTCTTCTTCGGGTATTTCTTCGACTTTTTCTTCGCAGTGGCCATCTTTTTTATGCGTTTTGTCGGATTTAACCTCACCTTTGTCTTCGTCCTCGGAATCGTCCTCGAGTGACCACTTTTTGACGGCGCCTTGGGGGATTGTTAGGTTTTGCACCAGGGTGCCTTTCTGTGCTTCCTTTTTTGTGGCTTCTTGCTCTTTTTTCTTACGTTCGGCTCTCCAACGCTCTATCCGTTCTCGTCTTTTCTGCATCTCCAACTCCAATTTTTTCTGTTCTTCTTCTTTGTCCAAATTATTGGGGTCAAATGAGAGACCAGAATCTTCAGTTTTTTCTTTGGAGCGCGATCTTGAGCGAGATTTGTCTCTACGCCTTGATTTTCCAGTTCCACCACGTTTGTCAGCCCTATAATAATTATTATAATTTGGTTCAAAATTAATTCTATATTATTTACCTCCTATTATCCCTTTCTCTGCTATATGATCTCCTTTCTCTATCAACTCTGTCTCTTTCCCTCCTATCCCTCGACCTACTCCTCCTTTCCTTTGATCTACTCCTACTTCTTCTCCTGTTTTCCCTCGAACGACTCCTCCTATGCCTAAGCGCTTTAACCCTCTCATAACTCCTACTCCTCGACCGCTTCCGCCTTTTTTCCGGAGTCCGGCTTCTATCCCTCCTAAAATGGACCAAAAACGTTTAATTTTGAGGTTATAACGATAAAAAAACACCAAAAATTATGTTTAGCTGGGATTATATATGTAATTCTTACCCTCCACGAACCATTTTTACGCAAAATCACTTCAATATTTACATAAAAACGATGAAACAACATTCATTATAACCTAAAAATGCACCACTGTCATATTTTGACGCCACTGTTTTATACAGCGCCATCTATCCAAGTTTGACCAAACCTTATTTTAAATAGTTACTTAATATTTGAATAGATGGAGAGTATTAGTAAATCCTGAAAGTAGGCAATCAAGTTTGCTACTATGTAATTTAATTGCCTAAATACAGGCTAAAACATGTTTCAACGTGATTAATAAGTAAAACCTAATTATTTAACACATTTTATTACAAAATAAATAAAAATAACAATATATAACTAGTCGAGATGCTCATGTTCGTGTTCGGCATGTTGTTCGGATTCCCGCCAATACTTTTGTACTGTTTCGCAAATTTTACTCCACCAGGTAGTTTTAGTGAAATAATACGCCATACACAAGTTAACAAATATCCAGGACATAATTAAAAACGTGTCGGAGTCTTTCGATGGTACGCTGTATACAGGGCCCTCAAAATCAGCAGAGGAGACCCAGTTTAATTCAGTTGGATTTAGTCCTGTAATGCCTGTTAAAACTTTGGAAAATAACTCTAGGGTGTATTTGGAATCGTTATATTTCGCCACAGGTCGCCCATTGTGGAACAATAAGATCGAAGGTACCCCAACAATACCATTTTGAGTGTTGAATAAATGGTAAACCATGGCATTAATAGCAACCATTTTGATGTCTGGAAAAGCCCTAGGGAGTGCATTAAAATGCGGCGCCGCCATGCTTGAAAATGGGCAATACTTGGAATAGAACAGAACCAAAATACATGGTGCAGGAGTTTCTCGGCTCGTAATATTTGTATCAGGTGAAAGTAATTTAATTAACTCTGTATCGTTAACCAACTGCACCTTTTCACTGCCCAAATTAGGCAAACATTGGACATATTTTACTGTGGAATTTGTAGTTGTTGAATTGGAGGTTATGTTCCCCTGGACTGGTTGTTCTTTGGGGGATTCTTCAGGAGCATTGTTTATTTTATTAGTAGTAACATCCTGTGTTAAAATTATGTTAAAACATAGACAAGAAATCCCTAAAAATAAACAAACATGTGAACCATACATTTTATTTAAATTTGTTAAAAATTTACCAATAACGCATAAAAAACGATTTTTAAAGCCCATATTTCACTCAAAAATCATTAATGTTGTTTAAAAATCACCTAAAAATTACTTTTATTTACTTTGTTGACAATTCAACTGTCAAATCTGACGTCTCAGTAAACATAACCCTACTTTATGTACAACATAACCTCGAAATGAAGCCAAAGAATATATTTATTTTCACCCCCAATGCTTTGGAGAAAGACAAAAATGGTTACCTGGAAGGTTTTCATAAAAAATACGCCGACAACGAAGCATATTTCATAACGAATTCACGTATAAAAAAGCAGTGTACAAAATTTGTAGGTTACGCGGGAAAAAATCGGAATATTCAACAAACACCCAATACTATCAGCATAGAGAATGGTAAAATTACAGTCAATGGTACAAATTTGCCTCTGGTTAATATTTCCTATGATTACCATGCGTTTAAGGATAGCAGGGTGATAGATAACACACTGAATATATATGGGAAGTTTTTCAACGACTTAAAACAGTATTATGTGGATAAAAATAATAGTACAAATGGAAGAAAAAGTGTTTTTGTGAGATTTATAGACTTGTTAACAATTTATATTGGCTATATGTTGATTTTGTTGGATAAATGTAAGTTTTTTGTGCCATTTTTTGCAACTCTAACTCATTTTGAACAATCCCTTACGACTTTGCTATGGTTTTTCGAAGAATTAAAAGGGAAAAAGTTAACGTTGAAGGCTGGGAATGTTTTGATGGCGAAAATAATTGATTTGGTGGTTGGTGTAGTGCTCATGTATTATTGTATTAACCACCAAATAGGAATAACTATAATGTTTAAAAACTGGACCCAAGTACCTAAGTCAATAACAATTTAATTATATACTATTAATTAACATTATTTTAGGAAGTTGTGGAACAACTAAAATCACTTTTGTTATGCTTAATGGGGTCTCCAATAGGTTTAAAACTTAACTATGCTTTCAACCAATCACTGGGAAAGTTTTTCTTTTACCATATAACCTTATGGAAAGTGTTTTTAAATGGTTTGCACCCTTTGATTGAACAGTATTTTAAATGCTTATTATTTCCGTGTTTGTTTGGGTTTACATTCCAAATAGCAATGCTTTACGATGTAATTTCAATATCAACTTTTCACGTGTATTGCATTTACGTATATGCAGCAAGGTATTCAGGTTATATTTTTGCGATTTTTATTGATTAATATTGTTTTAGAATGTTTAATTTACAAGTAAAATGCCTTATATCACTTTGGAGACTTTTTATGGGCCGAATGATTTCAACGATTTTATGACCAATTTTTTATTTTTCATCGATTTTAAAACTCATGCACCGTTGCTAAGTTTAGGATTGTTTTAAAGGAGAAAACTGCTGTTAAGCGTTGTTTAATATGATTTCAACGATTTTACAACCAAAATTTTTATTTTTTGTAGGTTTAAAAACGCGTACACTGTTGCCAAGTTTACATTTTTTCCCAGATTTAGGGATTTTCTTCAAAAAATCTTACCTTTCACTCTAATGCCCTCCATTTCCTCCTTATAGGCGTCCACCTCATCCTGGGTCATTTTAGCGATTTCCGGGACTTCCACATAAAAACTCTTCCTAAACGAAATGTAGCGGATGTTATCGTGATCAATTTTGGCCAATTCTTTTTTCTGTTTATTAGCTATATTAGCTGCAGTATCCTTCAAATCTTCTTGCTCTTCCTCAGAGGAATATTCGAGACCGTCTTGATTCTGCTCTATTAACTCTCCCTTATTTTTACTGGCTTTAGCTTTGGCAACGCCGCTTACAATGACCATGGAGCTTTTAGTATCGTTCGAGCCGGGTTTTTTTACTTCAAATTTGTTGATTTTGCGAACCTCTTCTTGTACACTCTTCATGAACTCATCCAGAGGGTCCACATCTTCTTCCGGGGCTTTTTCCGGTTCTGGGGGTTTGGGGGGTTCTTCTTCGGGTATTTCCTCGACTTTTTCTTCGCAGTCGCTATCTTTTTTATGCGTTTTGTCGGATTTAACCTCACCTTTGTCTTCGTCCTCGGAATCGTCCTCGAGAGACCACTTTTTGACGGCGCCTTGGGGGATTGTTAGGTTTTGCACCAGGGTGCCTTTCTGTGCTTCTTTTTTCGTGGCTTCTTGCTCTTTTTTCTTACGTTCGGCTCTCCAACGCTCTATCCGTTCTCGTCTTTTCTGCATCTCCAACTCCAATTTTTTCTGTTCTTCTTCTTTGTCCAAATTATTGGGGTCAAATGAGAGACCAGAATCTTCATTTTTTTCTTTGGAGCGCGATCTTGAGCGAGATTTGTCTCTACGCCTTGATTTTCCAGTTCCACCACGTTTATCAGCCCTATAATAATTATTATAAATTGGTTAAAAAATATCAAAATTAATTTACCTCCTATTATCCCTTTCTCTGCTATATGATCTCCTTTCTCTATCAACTCTATCTCTTTCCCTCCTATCCCTTGACCTACTCCTCCTTTCCTTCGATCTACTCCTACTTCTTCTCCTGTTTTCCCTCGAACGACTCCTTCTATGCCTAAGCGCTTTAACCCTCTCATAACTCCTGCTCCTCGACCGCTTCCGCCTTTTTTCCGGAGTCCGGCTTCTATCCCTCCTAAAATGAACCAAAAACGTTTATTTTGAGGTTATAACGATAAAAAAACACCAAAAATTATGTTTAGCTGGAATTATACATGTAATTCTTACCCTCCACGAACCATTTTTACGCAAAATCACTTCAATAAATCGCTATATTTACATAAAAACGATGAAACAACATTCATTATAACCTAAAAATGCATCACTCATATTTTGACGCCACTGTTTTAAAAAGCGCCATCTATCCAAGTTTGACCAAATAGTTACTTAATATTTGAATAGATGGCGAGTATAAGTAAATCCTGAAAGTAGGCAATCAAATTTGTAACTGTGTAATTAAATTGCCTAAATACAGGCTGAAACATGTTTCAACGTGATTAATAAGTAAAACCACATTATTTAACACATTTTATTACAAAATAAATAAAAATAACAATATATAACTAGTCGAGATGCTCATGTTCGTGTTCGGCATGTTGTTCGGATTCCCGCCAATACTTTTGTACTGTTTCGCAAATTTTACTCCACCAGGTAGTTTTAGTGAAATAATACGCCATACACAAGTTAACAAATATCCAGGACATAATTAAAAACGTGTCGGAGTCTTTCGATGGTACGCTGTATACAGGGCCCTCAAAATCAGCAGAGGAGACCCAGTTTAATTCAGTTGGATTTAGTCCTGTAATGCCTGTTAAAACTTTGGAAAATAACTCTAGGGTGTATTTGGAATCGTTATATTTCGCCACAGGTCGCCCATTGTGGAACAATAAGATCGAAGGTACCCCAACAATACCATTTTGAGTGTTGAATAAATGGTAAACCATGGCATTAATAGCAACCATTTTGATGTCTGGAAAAGCCCTAGGGAGTACATTAAAATGCGGCGCCGCCATGCTTGAAAATGGGCAATACTTGGAATAGAACAGAACCAAAATACATGGTGCAGGAGTTTCTCGGCTCGTAATATTTGTATCAGGTGAAAGTAATTTAATTAACTCTGTATCGTTAACCAACTGCACCTTTTCACTGCCCAAATTAGGCAAACATTGGACATATTTTACTGTGGAATTTGTAGTTGTTGAATTGGAGGTTATGTTCCCCTGGACTGGTTGTTCTTTGGGGGATTCTTCAGGAGCATTGTTTATTTTATTAGTAGTAACATCCTGTGTTAAAATTATGTTAAAACATAGACAAGAAATCCCTAAAAATAAACAAACATGTGAACCATACATTTTATTTAAATTTGTTAAAAATTTACCAATAACGCATAAAAAACGATTTTTAAAGCCCATATTTCACTCAAAAATCATTAATGTTGTTTAAAAATCACCTAAAAATTACTTTTATTTACTTTGTTGACAATTCAACTGTCAAATCTGACGTCTCAGTAAACATAACCCTACTTTATGTACAACATAACCTCGAAATGAAGCCAAAGAATATATTTATTTTCACCCCCAATGCTTTGGAGAAAGACAAAAATGGTTACCTGGAAGGTTTTCATAAAAAATACGCCGACAACGAAGCATATTTCATAACGAATTCACGTATAAAAAAGCAGTGTACAAAATTTGTAGGTTACGCGGGAAAAAATCGGAATATTCAACAAACACCCAATACTATCAGCATAGAGAATGGTAAAATTACAGTCAATGGTACAAATTTGCCTCTGGTTAATATTTCCTATGATTACCATGCGTTTAAGGATAGCAGGGTGATAGATAACACACTGAATATATATGGGAAGTTTTTCAACGACTTAAAACAGTATTATGTGGATAAAAATAATAGTACAAATGGAAGAAAAAGTGTTTTTGTGAGATTTATAGACTTGTTAACAATTTATATTGGCTATATGTTGATTTTGTTGGATAAATGTAAGTTTTTTGTGCCATTTTTTGCAACTCTAACTCATTTTGAACAATCCCTTACGACTTTGCTATGGTTTTTCGAAGAATTAAAAGGGAAAAAGTTAACGTTGAAGGCTGGGAATGTTTTGATGGCGAAAATAATTGATTTGGTGGTTGGTGTAGTGCTCATGTATTATTGTATTAACCACCAAATAGGAATAACTATAATGTTTAAAAACTGGACCCAAGTACCTAAGTCAATAACAATTTAATTATATACTATTAATTAACATTATTTTAGGAAGTTGTGGAACAACTAAAATCACTTTTGTTATGCTTAATGGGGTCTCCAATAGGTTTAAAACTTAACTATGCTTTCAACCAATCACTGGGAAAGTTTTTCTTTTACCATATAACCTTATGGAAAGTGTTTTTAAATGGTTTGCACCCTTTGATTGAACAGTATTTTAAATGCTTATTATTTCCGTGTTTGTTTGGGTTTACATTCCAAATAGCAATGCTTTACGATGTAATTTCAATATCAACTTTTCACGTGTATTGCATTTACGTATATGCAGCAAGGTATTCAGGTTATATTTTTGCGATTTTTATTGATTAATATTGTTTTAGAATGTTTAATTTACAAGTAAAATGCCTTATATCACTTTGGAGACTTTTTATGGGCCGAAAGTTTAACCCACTGAGAAACAGGGTTGATTCATGCCAATATGAACAAAATCAACTTTTTATAGGGACTTTGGGATTCACAGTGTTTCTATTTTTGTTACCAACCACTACAATGTACTACACTGTTTTTGTTTCGGTAAAAAACCCTTAATAAATAAAAAAATGTAATAATTATTTTATTTTTATAGTTCAGAATCATCATTAAAATTGTGGAAACGTTGTTTTCCAAATTGAGACACATTTTAAATGTTTTACCTCTGTATGGCCTTTCTTTATGGATTTTTAATTCCAATTTAGTCGCAGGTAATAAGTGTCAAAATCAAGGTTGTAAACGTCAATTTTTTTCAAGGTTATCATTGTCAAAATTGACCTTAAAACTTGTCAATTATTGGCCAATTTTAACGATTATTTTACTGAAAACTTTTTAGGGTCTCTTTATATAAAATGTGTTTATATCGAAAAAAACGACGTTACGTTGGAAGCAAAATTAAACAAACTATCGCTAGGACAAATTTTCGACTTAACTCCAAAAATCACGAAAAAAAATAAATTTAATTTGGGGGAATTTGTACACAATGTTTTCACAGGGGTTTTGATATGAAAATAAAAAAAATGAATCCTTGATATTCTAGCTTTATTTCTTTTCCCTATACTAAATTACAGATTAATAAATATTTCTCATTTATTATTATGTAGGTATTATTTTTATGGAATTACGGATAAAAATATAAAATTTGTACCTAATTTCAAATTACAAACTTTATACAATAAATTACTAAAATAAAAACAATCAAAAATGCTTTAAAACTTGCTCCTTTTACAATAATTATTATTGTTAACCCCTTTATTGACATAACCTAGAAAATTAAAACAACTGTCAAATACTATAAAAACAATTGAAGGGGCAAGTTTGAGCGCATTATTCCATGACATGCCTTGTTTTATGTCGCTTTTAAGACATAAAAAAGGTCACTAGATTCTTTTTATCTTGCACCATTATTCACAATAATATTATTTATTATATTAAAGGAATTATGGGTTAAATTCTATAAATTATATGGAACTTATGGCCCTATGCACAAAGATTAGTTTAACCCAACCTTTGTGCATAAAGCTATTTAATATGGTGTAGGTTGTTAAGAGGAACTACTGACTTAAAATTAAAGATTTTTTAGTATCACATGAGACTAGTGTATTAAATAAAAAATATAGACATACAAAAAAAGGGAATACTGTCATTCTATTGCATTTTTTTATCACAAATTTGTATATTTTTGAGAGAGATCTTTACATTTTAACGTCAGTCGGACCTAAAAACTTTTGAACACCAAAACTATGATTATTTTAATTTTATATTTTAAGTAGCAATTTAGACAGAATTCACTTTGTTATACCATGAACACTGGTTGCAGAGCTATTTTTAGTTGAATGGCGACTTCTACTGTTTAAAAAAAAACAAAATTTAATTAGTAAATTTAATAATACATTAAAAGAATAAAAAAATCAAATTTTTAATCCCCGACTCACCGTATATCATTTGTAGATATATCTCTGCTGTAATCATATTTATTTTTCTCCAGTCTACGTTCTAAGTCCTATAAAACAACAAAAAAACCCGTTAGAATTTAACCTAAAAGCTCTGAAAGCACCCAACAATTTTTACAACAGGTTAAAAGTCAAACAACTGTCACATCTGACGTTAGACGGTTAACCTCAAAAAAACACTGACGCACCTTGACATTTGGTTGTTTTTGAGGTTATGGACGGTATTTGCGGGACACTCTGTACATTTAAACTGACCGCATTCCGAACACAGGAATCTAGTGAGCTGAAAGCAACACAAAACATGCATACCACTACAGAAACAATAAAAAACTGCATGCACAAATAATACTAAAAATCTACTTGTTTGTGTTTTTTGAACACCCTGTATATTATTGTGAAATTGGATGTGTAAATTATGTAAGCATGTGCCAAAATTTATACCGATATTTTGTGTGTATATTTTTATTAATAACTAAAAAACTATTATTGCTGGGGATTTCAATTTTTTACATAATATTAAGACTGTATATTGTGATGTTGATACAGAATTTCAACATTTTAACCTTAATAGTTTTTGAGTTATAACAAAAAAACAAAAAACCCTTGAAAGCCAATTTTTATGTCCCAAACTGTACATTTTGAAATACTTTTCATAGTAAAGCATTACTTAAAGCCCCAAAAACTGTAATAAACATCCAAAACAATAACAATAAATCCCATTTTTCTAAAAAAAAACTTTTTTACTTACTCCCATTTTTCTAATAAGGTCACTAACTAAATTCAAAGCCACCACCCTGGATGCTGGTGTAATTGGTGTTTGAAACTCATCTGTAAGTCAAAAATTACGAAATTAAGACATTTTCTGAGAAAAGAAACAAAAATAGGTAGGTAGGTACTTGGAACAACCCTAAAAAGCCCTTGGGATTTGAGTTATTTTATGGGAAAAACTATGGGAAAAAGCTGAAAGAATATTAAATAAACAATGTTAAAAGCATAATAAAAACGATAATAATCAATTACACAAAAGTTTAAACAATATAATGACTAAAAAGCAAAAAGTTAGGTTAGGATACACAAATAAAGCGGCGTTCTCAGAAATATTAACACTATTATTTTTTTAACGTAAAAATGGCAATTTCAACATAACATTAGTAGCGAGTTTATAATAAACGAGTTTCTTGAGAATTTTATAGAACGAATTGCACAAGGGGCGTCCATTAATTACGTGAGGTGTTTTTTAGGATTTAACCTATAATTTTTAAATAATTAAATTTGTTAATGTTATATTCTCTGAATTAAAAAGCTGACGTGAGATTTGGTGAGATTTTGACCTCGTAATAAATGGTCGCCCGCATACCATACTTTTTCTACGACGCACACAAAGTAATGTTTTTTAGATTTTAAAGCCAATTTAATTTGACATTCTACCCGACGCCTGACAAATGTCAACGATTTTAACCTCACTTTTTTCAATCTGACATCTATCAAACGGTTTTAACCTCACTTTTCTCAACCTGGCATCTGTCAAACGGTTTCAGCCTCATCACAAAAAGTTAGGTTAGGATACATATGAAAAGTGGCGTTCTCAGAAATATAAACATAAAAAACAAGTAAAATCGACAATTAAGGTTTAAAAAACTCTAAAAACAAAACACAAAAATAAAAACCAAAATTAACTAAATATTACTATTTATTCACGAAATTATCTAATGTTTGTGAAAAACATGCGTTATGATAGAAATTACATGCATTATTTGGCAAAGTATAGAAGAAAAAGATGAGATTTCCGAAAAAGCCAAAAACCAATTATATGAGGATGTTTAATATCTACATGGTGGTGTTAGTGTTAAATCGGCGTTTTCGGAAAAAAGCTGTAACTTTATGGAATGTTTTGTATCTTTGCATCTTACGTTTTGATGGGGTAGTTTGAGTCTCGTTTTCTTTCAATCTATTTGAGTCGACAATAGGGGGCGTTTTATAACCATTCACTATCCTCTCATTGTCTGGACAACGCTCTTTCACTTGCAACTCTTGCTGTAGCTCTAAAAATCAAGATTAGCGAGGTTATGTCGTAAATTTTAAGGTTATGTACCTCTTCTTTCATCAAGAAGCCTTTGAAGTTTTTCTTTTAGGGTTTCCTTTTCGTCCACTTCAGATTCCAGAATAGCGTTCCGTTCTATTGCACTGTTAAAGGCAGATTCGATGCCTTGAATACTTTCCTCAATTATTCTCCTCGATCGCTCTAAATCATCATTTTTTTGCTCTAATTCCCTTATGTATTGAGTCATTTGCATTTTATCGTTTTTATATGTCACAATTTCGTTTTCTAGGCTGTTAACTTCTTTATTGTATTGCTCTATTTTTATCTAAACACAAAAATTACAAATGGCATTTTTAAGGCTATAATTGTCAATTTCAAGGCTATTATTGTCAATTTCAAGGCTATAAATGTCAATTTTAAGGTTATAAACGTCCTGTACTTACCCGATAAGAATCGACCTCATTCTGGAGTCTATTATTTGCAATTGTAAACTCTTTTATTTTCTTTTCATTTTGATCGATTGTAGCTTCATATTCCTTTTCCAACTGTTGAGATTCTGATATAAACTCGTCCGACTCCTTCTGAATCCTGTCAGCACTAAAAACCCCCGATTAATCGTATCTAAGTCAGTGAAAATTACACATTTTCTTACTCCAAAAAATATTGTTCTGCAAGATTTTTCCAATACTGTATCTCCTGGTCCTTATCAGTAAAATTAGGATGGTCGCCTTTATTCATTTTCGCTAATTATCGTTTACTTCCTCGTCTTAAGGCAATTAAACATTTCCTTGAACTAAAAAAAACGATTTAATTCAATGATTTTGATCAACTGTCAAATATTGTAAACATGAGTCATATCGAAATGTAAATAAAAAACACCAATAAACAGGTGTTTAGGTGTAATATTAGTGTAAATTACTTTGTGCTTAATTATGGATTAATTTTGTATTGTAATTTAGCTTACTTAAGGTTTATATCACTGGCTTTTTGTACTTATTTATCGAAAATACCCCATACAAAATGGAGGTTTCAATAAATGTCAACCACGGTCGCGGCACTCTAATGGACAAGGATAGAACATTCGAAATTAGTTGGCGCAAAACTCCCAGAGGGAGCACTATTCATTTTTTTTAATCTTCATGTTGGTAAAACTGATTTCGGACACTTTGCGCAGGCGTAGCGTTATTTTATAATCCGCAGAGATGTTTTTAAGTTTACTTTCATAATTTACTTTCATTATTGTTTTGTGTTTATCTGTGTTATATTGTGTTTTGTAATCTTTGGTATCGTGTTTTAAACAATTTATTATTACATATTTGTTGTGTATTTATTTGAATCGTGTGGTTTGTCATGTAAGTATTAAAGTATTTATTTGTTATGTAGGTTATGTATTATGATAAAACCGTTGAGTGAAGTCAATGATAAAACCAAAATTTTATGTGAAGGGCTTATTTCAAGAACATGATGTCCAACACTTACAATTAATTATTTCAAATTTCTATGTTAGTACTGTTTAATTACATTAAATATATTTTAATATTTCTCCTAATTTTCTTGGTATATTATATAATATTTTGTATTTATTTAATATGATTATTAAGATCAAAAGCTAATGTAGATTTGTTTGTAATATATGTTTAATTTTTTAGCTTCAAAATGTCTCGTCCCTGTTCAGTTAAAAACTGTGAAGATAGGAAGTCAAAACGGCACCAGTTTCCTGATTTTAACAAAGATCCAGAGCTTTTTAAAAAATGGGTTGATTTATGCCAAAATTTGGAGTTGCAGAATTTGGAGCCACACTTTGTTCGTAAAAACAAAAAAGTATGCCATAAGCATTTTTCTGGAGAACATTTAATGCAAAATGATCGAATTAGTAAAGTTGCTTATCCCACTTTGTTTTTACCTCAAGAAACTGAAGCGTATGGTAAGTTATATTTTTATTATTTAAATATTTTAAATACATTCAAGTATTATTTATTTATTGTTGAATTTTAACAATTTGTGAAGGCAATTAAGTTTTGGAATATACCACCACTAAATTTTAAGTTTTAAATTTTTTTGAATATTGGTTAATCTAAATATTTCTAAATGTGTATTACTACCTGTAAATATCTTTATTACCTGTAAATAGTTTTGTTTTATTACTTTAATAACTAAGGGTTTCTACCTGAGGATCATTTCAACTACCTGAAATTTTCCAAAATTTTATTATTTCTCCATTTTGCTTATGAATTTTGTTTTTGTTAATAAATAATATAATATATAATTTACTTTCAGGCGCTGCAGTGTTTAATGAGTCTGTAGAAGAAACTGTTTTAAATGAAGAAGCTGAATTCGTTTTAACAGGCATTATTACACAGTCTCCTAGCACTTCTCAAGGATTAAAGCGCAAATCAGATTACAACAGGAAAAATACAAGAACTCCCATAAATGGTAAATAGGTACCTTCTCAAAAGTAATTTAAACTCATCTAAAGTTTTATTCTTGAATTTTAAATAAAATTGTGTCACTCATTAAATTAAGTTTACATTATAGACATTTCATACATTTTACATATTTTATACATTTTATTTTTATACAATATATTTATATATGGTTATTTATCTACTTCTATTGTCTTCTTAAAAGTAATTTAAACTCATCTAAAGTTTTATTCTTGAATTTTAAATAATATTGTGTCACTCATTAAATTAAGTTTACATTATAGACATTTCATACAGTTTACATATTTTATATATTTTATTTTTACACAATATATTTATATATGGTTATTTTTCTACTTCTATTGTCTAATATTTACATTATAACTGATTCGCCTTCTGCAATTGCTTATAATGTTGCAAATTTTGCTTATTATATGGCAGCTATAAAATTTTAAAAGTAAATTTTTATTACTGATTAAAAAATGTAAAAAAAATTACTTTTTAATAATACTATGTGTTTTTCACCAAAATAGTATTTTAGTACTGTACTGGGAAATAATTGTTTTTTCAGAGGTTTTTAAACTACATAATTGCTTGGGAGTTTGATATTTTTGTGTTTAAATTTTATGAAACATGGAAAAATAAAATAATTAGGTAATTTGCTATTATTTTACACACTAAATGATTTAAGATATTTATAATGTTACCACAATTACATTTATATAATATACAAACCAATTCCACAAAAACACTGTTAAATTCCAAATATAAAAAAATTAATATTTATTATATAAAAAAATAAATTTTATATTAAAGGGCATAAATTATATAGTTATAAAAATACTTGCATAATATGTATGTGTATGTATGTACATGTATTCTAAAATGTTTAAATTTCAATCTTGTATTTTTTAAATTCCATTATAGTTTATATATTATATATATATATTATTTAATAATGCCAAAAAAATATAAGAAATTTAAACAATTATATCTTGTATTATTTACCACCATATATTAATTTTTTTATATTTCAGAGTGTATGCTGCTGGCGAATGCTGGTGTCCAATACCAAAATGAGTTGACGCCAAAAGCAAAGAGACTTTACTTAAGTGCCAAAAGGATCCGTCGACAAAATGCCATTTTAAAAAAACGAACTCGTTTGTTAAAAACTCGTTTAAAGGATTTATCGCCAGAATCATTGTTGGATAATATTACTGCAAATCTTCCCTCACACATCACAGGCTTTATCAAAAGCCAGATAAATTTATGGGACAAAAAAGGACAGGGAAAACGTTATAATTTGCAGGATAAAATTTTAGGGCTTGTAATATACAAGCAATCTCCAAAAAGCTATAGGCTCTTGGAAAAATTATTTGCACTGCCATCCTCAAAGACTTTGAGATTATTATTAAAAAAAATACCAATTAAAACTGGAATAAATGATTTTCTTTTTGAGACACTAAGGAAAAATCTTGAAAATCGCCCTCAAATAGAGATGGCCTGTATTTTAATTTTTGATGAAATGGCAATTGAGGCGCATGTAAATTTTAACGGCAAAGAATTTGTTGGGTTTGAGGATTTGGGAGATGATTCATCACAAGAAATAGCTGACCATGCCCAAGTCTTTATGCTTAGAAGTGTGGATGGCAGGTGGAAACAGCCAGTCTATTATGGATTCAGCAAAAGCGCCACTAAAAGTATTTCCTTGTGCAGAATTATAAAAGCCTTAATACAAAAATGCCATAGCATTGGTATTAGAGTGGTTGCGACAGTTTCTGATCAAGGAACAAACAACTGTGCAGCAATTAACCATTTAATGACTACCACCGTTAATGCAAATGATAATGCACATAATATTAAATTTTTTTATGTAGAGGATAAAAAAATTGTACATATTTATGACCCACCTCACCTATTAAAGGGCATAAGAAACAATTTAATTACAAAGAATTTAATATGGGAGAAGAAAGATGAAAAATTGGTTGCTTCCTGGGATGATGTATATACGCTTTACAAAATGGACAACATGCCAGGAGAGATGAGAGCTATACACAAGATCACAGAATACCATGTGAATCCTGAAAAAATAAAAAAAATGAAGGTTTCATATGCAGCCCAAGTTTTCAGCCATTCTGTAAGCTCATTAATGAATCTTTTAATAAGATTAGGTAATACCAAAAAATATTATTAAATGTTAAATATTAATTAAATAAAAATTTCAGATGCTACGACTCCTGAAGGGATTAAACTTCCAAAGTCTGCCACAGGAACAGCAGCAGTTCTAAAGTTTTTCGACGATCTTTTCGACAGTGTCAATGGGACAAGCTACCTAAGCACCAAAAAACCTTTAAAATGCTGCTTCACGAAATCATCAGGGCATTCAAAGTTTTGGTCAGAAGCGAGAAGCCAGCTCAGTTCAATGTACTATGTTAAAAATGGTGCTAAAGCATATGTACCCTCACTAAAAAATTGGGTGTATACTCTAAATGGCATTGAGGAGACTTTTAAAATCTTGTCAAGAGAATTTGATTTGAAAGAATTAAAAACCCGAAGTCTTAACCAAGATCCCATAGAAAATTTTTTTGGGCAGATGAGACAGCAAGGCTCTCGAAACATTAATCCAACAGCAAGCCTCTTCCAAAGCCATTTTAAAACACTATTAATTAATAATTTAACAAAGAGACATTCTGCATCTGGAAATTGTGAACAGGATTCGTCCCAAATAATTTCAAGTGTGGAAAATTTGTTAGTGCAGAATGTTTCTGAAGAAATGGCTTTGGAAGATTTGGTTCTTTTGGAACAAAATTGCAGCCTCCTGGATAAAATAAAGATAATGCCAGTTGCCTATGTGAGTGGATATCTTAGCAAATACTTAAAAACCTTGCCGAAATGTAACATTTGCAAAGCTAATATTATATGTGGTGAACCATTAAAGGATTGGCATGATCTTATTTTATCTAAGGAGTTCAATAATAAATGTAGAAAGCTAACGTATTGTACTCCAGCTTTTATTGGAGCATTATGTGACACATCACAAATTTTAAAAAAAAATATGCCTCTTATATGCTCAAAAAAAAATTTTTTTAATGTATTAAATGCTGCATTAAATGATATGATAAAAATTACCCTTAAAGAAGAATGTGAGCATTCAGCAGTGGTGCAATTAAATTTTTTAAAAAGTTATTCTCTTTTATATTGTCGCAACTGGGCAGCTTCCATAAATAGAATTCTAAATGGAAGGGATCAAAGAATTTTTAATTTTGAAGATAAAGTTATGAAGGCTGCCCAGTTATATTATAAAAAAAGACGAAA